ATATTACATAAGTACATAGCAAGGGCGAATTCGGGGAACAGAAGCTGGCCAGATTTTGTAGTATCAGATAGCTGCCTGATATGCGTTAGCAGCAACTAAGCCCATGCGCTGTATCAAGCTCACCAGATGTGGCCAAGGGCATCTCCAGTCAACTTCGACCTAAGGAGTAAGTCCCGAGCTTGATCTCCAGACAAAGCCTGGTTGTTGCCCGCAGCCGACTTAAACAGCTGCTCAAACTTTGCCTGGTCCTGCGCCGTGATAAACGAGAGTCTGATGTTTGGGATCTTGTTTGATTTCGCAGGGGGCGGAGGCGGCAGCGGCTGGGACGCGGAGCCTCTGAACGAGTCGGCCATCTGCGACGAGGTCATGCCCGTGGGCTGGGGCAACTGCTGCGGGGCAGAGGGTTGCTGAGGAGGGGGCGCGCCTGTTTGGAAGGGCTGCTGCTGCGGAGGCTGTTGGTGCTGCTGCTGGAAGGACTGGGCCTGCTGGCCACCTGGATAGCCCGTGAATTGAGGTTGCGGCGGCGGCGGCGCGAAGCTCTGCGGTTGTCCCGGAAAGCCCGTGAACTGCTGCTGCATGGGGGCAGCACCAAAGCCCGTCGGCTGAGGCCCCAATCCACCCTGGAAGCCGCCGGGCTGCTGGAACTGCTGCTGCTGCTGGCCATATGGAGGCTGGCCAGGTCGGGCGCTATTCGCACCCCCTAGGTACGAGTTGGACCCTGAGAACATCGCGGGCCAAAAGTCGCGGGTCAATACACGGTGTAGCAGGCGCGCATGGGGCGATAGTAGTAGAAATAGAAGGGAAAGGGCACGAGAGTCGCGGGGGGGAGAGGTGTAAAGTTGAGGGTTGGCGGGTGTCTGTGCAGCCTCCGTGTGCTTCGAGTGAACAGCTCCGAGATGCGCTAGACTAAATAGCTTCGTCATCTGCCGCCAACTTCAGCCACCATGAAGACGACGACTTCACAACTCCATCCACACAGCTACTTCCGATACCCGACATGTCTGGCCCCAACGGAGATACCGGCACGGCCCGCCAGGAGCCAGATTTTGCCCAGGTTGGTTGCGCACGCATTCTTCGCAGAATCAAGTAGCTAAGGTTTGTCTCAGGCATTCAAGGATCTCGCCCGTGGAGAGCAAACCGCGGATGCGATGGAAAAACACCTCGATGCCGTAGAGAAGAAGATCGAGGAGCTTCTAGCCAAGGCAGATGAGGAGGAGCAGAATCTGAAGTCGAAGTCGAAGCCATCTGCAGAACCGTTACCATCCAACGAAGCCAAGGACAAAGCATAAATCGCACCCCCACGACCACGGCAATCAAGATATGGGTTCTCTATTTCAGGGGCATGCACAATTATAACGAGGCACGATTAGACGGTTTAGAGAATTCTCGGCGTTGACGGATCTTAGGATTCTACATGCCCACAGGCACATGCATCAAAGATATTGAGGTTAGCTGCAGATGCTGTGCAACATATTGCTACAGCAGCAGTAGTGGAGTTGGTCCAGGTCTTAAGCCCTATCATATTGGATTCATCTTCTAGATACCTCCAACCGTTGAAGGCGCATCCCTTACGCCGTCTGCCTTGAAAAGTCCGTCCAGGTGGAAGACCCCATCACTGTCCTTCTCTACTACTCCGACTTCGGTGATGATACCGTCGATGAGCTCGGCAGGAGTCACATCGAAAGCAGGATTCCACACTGCAATGCCATTCGCAGCAATGCTGACAGTCTCGACAACCCCAAGATCCAGCGTCACTCCATCGTGTCTGGGCCCCTTGATCAAAGTGACTTCCTTGCCAGGTCTCTCCTCGATGACAATCTCCTTTCCAGATTTCGTTTCGAGGTCAATGGTGGTACGAGGAGCAGCAACGAGAAACTTGACTCCGTGATGTTTGGCCAATATCGCCAGAGAGTAAGTCCCAATTTTGTTGGCTGTGTCTCCGTTCGCCGCGACTCTGTCCGCGCCAACGACGATGCCTGCAATGTTCTCGCTCGATCCTTTCAGTTGGAGTAGGGCTGCTGCCATCGAGTCGGTGATCAATGTTGCAGGAATTTGGTCATGTACCAATTCGAAGGCCGTCAATCTGGATCCCTGGTTGTATGGCCTAGTTTCAGAGCAGAAGGCATGCTTCAATGCTCCACTGGAGTGCAATGATCGTATCACACCGAGAGCTGTACCATATCCAGCTGTAGCAAGGGACCTGGATCGTTCAGCAGCAGCTCGAACCCTTAGGCAAAAGTTTCTTACCCCGTATTACAGTGCGTCAGCATGCTGACCTGGCCCTTCTTCCCAGCCTCAGTATTCTTCACTATCCAGTCCGCACCATGCCTTCCAATGTTCTCGTTGTCGCTCACGTCGTCTACCAGCATCTTTTGTGCTGCCGCCACATATGCTTCTCGCACGTCCTCGCCATCGGAACCTTCCTTATTAGCAGCCTCCTCAGCCGTACTCTTTAACTTCCGCGCCGCGTCCGCGAGATTAACTGCGGTGGGTCGGCTCGTGACTAGATAGTCCAACTTTTCGAGAATGAAAACCTTGACTTCTTCTGCGATCGGAGATAGTTTCATGTTGACCAGTTCCACTGCTAGGGCGAGGGCCGCCACAATAGCAATTGCAGGCGCGCCCCGCGTCCGCATCTCTTTGATGGCGTGCCATGCGTCCGTGCTTGAGTAGATATGATCGTATTCCTCTGAATGCGGTAATTTGAGCTGGTCGAGGATCTGCAGTTGACCCCGGGAGTATTTAATAGCTTGGAGAACCATCCTGGCAAACTCAACTGAAGTGAGAAAGTTCTGGCGGAAAACTTGAAGTTTGGGTTGCAATAAATTGCCCAACCTGCAAATCGAGCTCGCGCCACACCCGTAGACCACGTGCATGCGGGGCCGCACAGGCCATTGCGATCACATTTTCGTGTGAACGCTGGGCTGGTGCACTCAGGCATCATACAACACACAATTCACCTTTTTGGTGACCTTTTTGGTGATTTGTTTTAATTATTTATCTATCAAGTATATTGGGACTAGCCGGGGCGAAATCCGCGCGACACATCAAAACCGTCCCTCGATCACAAGATAGTCTCGGTCCACTAATGTGAACTGTACCATAACACGCAGATGACGACATAGGTTTTGTGGCCGCACGAGATCTCGATCTAGAGAATGCCATTGACCAATGCTCCCACCTTCGTACCACGTCTGTGGGTTCTCCTATATCAGCCCCACCCGTCCCATGAGCAAACATTTAGCTCAAGTCTGAACGCTTCATATGTCTTCCCCGATATCCATCTAACCAAATCAATCAGGACGTCCCAAAATGACTACCAATGGCTTAACCATCACCTCCGCACTCACGCTCCCCAACTCCCCCCACCGAATCCCTCGTCTCGGCTTCGGCGTCTACCAATCCCCCCCTCCAACCTGCGTCTCCTCCTGCCTTAAAGCCTTCCATGCCGGCTATCGACACGTCGACACAGCGCAATACTACGCGAACGAGAATTCGGTCGGCCGTGCAATCCGCGAGTCCAAGATCCCGCGCTCGGAAATCTTTATTACCACCAAGATCCTGAACCCGGGCAACGACGTAGAATCGACATACAAAAAGATTGTGGAGAGTGTGAAAAGGCTGGATGGGGAGAATGGGTATGTGGATTTATTCTTGATACATAGTCCAAATGGAGGAGTGGAAAGTCGGAGGTTGATGTGGTTGGCGTTGGAAAAGGCCAAGGATGTAGGGAAGGTGAGGGATATCGGGGTTAGTAACTATGGGATTGGACATATTGAGGAGATAAAGGAGTTTGGGAAAAGTTGGCCGCCGGCGGTGAATCAGATTGAGGTACGTATGAGTGAATTCTACATTGTCATCTCCGAGAAATTACTTCAAGGATCTTGCACAAAAGCCTAATGAGCAGGTGTGGTAGGGCTGTAGGCCTCGGTCCATCCTTTGCCCTCTATTTAGAATCGTTCAACTGTCATATTGGATACCTAAATGTTTGCTTGGGCCCAAGACCTGACCCCAATTTACTTCTATAATTGAGTAGCAGCAGACACTAACTTCCCACCCCCAGCTCCACCCCTGGTGCCAACAACGCGAAATCGTCCAATACTGCACCTCGCACTCCATCATAATTCAAGCGTACTGCCCCCTCGTCCGCAACCAACAAGCCCATAACAAGACCCTCATTAGTATCTGTGAGAAGCGCAAGCGCACTCCCAACCAAGTTCTCGTGAGATATTGTTTGCAGAAAGGATGGGTGCCACTACCCAAGAGCGACACACCGAGTCACATTGCCTCGAATGCGGATGTGTTTGGGTTCGAGTTGACGGAGGAGGATATGAGGACACTAGATGAACTAGACAGGGGGAGGATGGGGGCGATTGTGCAGGCGGTCAATAATTAAGTGGTGGATTGATGAGGAGGTTAGGTTGCAGGGAATGATGTTTGGGGAATTTGTGAGTAAATCTTGTTTGTAAGTGTTGTTGGTTCGATTTGGGGCGTTGAGACTCTATTACAAGTCTACATATTCACAAGGGTATATTCTTATTTATTGCACAGGGATCGAGCATATATGGTTCCGTATCAGAGTACTGGTAAATCGAGGGGATGGTCTTGAAGAGAAAGAGTGGGTCGTGGAAGGAACAACTCGTTGCTACCTGGGGAACATATCAACGATTCTTTTGAACAGTTTCTAGAGATTTTCCTATGCTAATTGTATTGAACCAATCCCAGAGTTCAAGATTCATTCTGATACTTCTAATGCTCGCTCTGTTTGCCTAATCTTTGTTCGTCCTTGGCGAAGTTTTAGCATAAGTAGCCGCCTTTTCGTCACACACCTTCCAATTTACCCCGCCTAATCCCACTTGCCCCAACCCCACTTAGTTCCCACACACAAAGCCTCAAAAATTGAAATTCGCGAAACCTTGCCACTGCCTTCATTGCAGCCAAATTTTATCATTGTATATATACGGAGTATCTTCAGATATTTGACATGAAATCACCAAATAGGTTGTGTAGTGTAGTGGTTATCACTCCAGATTCTGATCATTACGAGATGAATCTTCTGGCGACCCCGGTTCGACTCCGGGCACGACCTGAATGCAATTTCTTTTTTGCTACTTCCCAAGAATTCTGAAGGAAAAGAAGATAGTGGTTTCGCACAGCTTGCGAGATGGTACGTGGTATTGCTAGTCAAATGCTTTTTTGGCCCCGTACTATATTTTCTTGGACTCTATGTAGACTCTGCACCGCTATTTAAATGGAGCTTCCGTAGTTCTGCTGCCTTCCTAGGCTTGAACCTAGAGCACGTTCGTATTTTGCTTTGACTTCAGTCCGACTTGGAAGATATTCAAATAGTATCACGCAATTCCAGCAGCTGATGCTTATTAAGACCACCTGTGTGCTCACCAGACAGGGCGTCCTTCAAATATCAAGCGTTCCTAGCGATACGAAGCTCTTTCATTGATCAGGACGAATGATGCATGTATAGCAGAGTAATTGCGGACTAGCGTGCGGACTAGCTTGCGGAGACTGCGGACGAGGATTTAGCAAACGTCAGTTGTGGTTGCAACAGCCCATTGCCGCAGCGGCCCGCAGGGTTCGCTCAATGTAAAAGTCCCCGAGTGCGTTTGATTAGTCGGTGCATGTTTGCTGCAGAGATGCCGCATATCGGCATGCACGCTAGATGGTATTACTCAGGCATCAATGTGTCATGGGAAGGAGTTGGATGTGATAATTGTTGGTTGAGGAGAGTGGGGAGGTATTATTGATTAGAAGTTATGGATTGATAGGACCCGGGATCTACAGTTGGATGCCGAGATGGGGATGGGAGAGGAATTGGCAAAGGGACGGGATGCAGGCTTGGGGGATATGGGCGGGAAGTGGTATATATAAAACATCAGGACATCCTTCGTATCTACCCCATCTCAGCTCATCTCAACAGTCCCATCCTCCTTTCAATCCAATATTGCCTCTTCAATCACCCTCTTCTAGTCTTTAACAGTTCCAACAATGGTTCGAGTCGGCGCCGTCCAAGCAGAGCCGGTATGGTTTGACCTCCAAGGCACAGTCGATAAAACCATACAAATTATCGAAGACGCTGGAAAAAAAGGCATCAATGTCCTCGGCTTCCCTGAAGTCTGGATTCCAGGCTATCCATGGTACATTCCCCCCTGCCATCCTTCCCTGCCATCCAATCCCCTCCGTTAATCATTCTCCTCATCCTACTCTCCTTCACTTCGTAACAAATTCTAAGGCAACTCTGGACCCAAAGTGTCTTCGAGCGCAGCGCTCTTATCCACAAATATATGTCCAACTCTTTGTCCCTCCACTCTCCCGAGATGGAGCGCATCAAGGCGGCCGCAAAGGGATCCCACGTCTTTGTGATCCTCGGTTATAGCGAGCGCTCCGGTGGCAGCCTCTACATGGCACAAACATACATCTCAGAGGAAGGCGAGATCGTCAACCACCGCCGCAAAATCAAGCCCACGCATGTGGAGCGTTCGCTGTGGGGCGACGGGCAGGCTGACTCTCTCAAGAATGTTGTGGACTCCAAATTTGGCAAGATTGGAGCACTATGCTGCTTTGAGCATTACCAGCCGCTGCTCAGGTACTATGAGTATGCCCAGGGCGTGCAGATCCATGTTGCGGCGTGGCCACCATTCTTTGAATATAAGGCGCCGAATGGGTTCCAGGGGACAGCGCCTGCGAGCCAGCTTGCGAGTCAGTTTCTTGCGCTTGAGGGCCAGGCGTTTGTGCTTGTGAGTACACAGGTGGTTACGGAGAAGAATTTGGAGTTGATGGAGTTGAGCAAGGTGGGTGTGACCGAAGTGAGTTTTCTACTGACTAATTGAAGGGGCTATGTTAACTGACAGCTGGGCAGGCTGGCGGAGGATTCGCTATGATTTTCGGCCCTGATGGGCGGCCGCTGGTTGAACCTTTGTCGAAGGACCAGGAGGGGATTCTGCAGGCGGATATTGATCTGGGGGACATTGATGACGCGAAGTAAGTTGCTAAGCCCAGGAACAGGAACTAATCTCACCCCTTGCTGAAAATTCGCCGCGATACTTCGCGTGTGGGGTCTGGAAGACCTTGACATGGTGATGAAGTAGTACCGTCCCTCAAAATTGAGAGTTTTGCTGATTTTGAACTCCCTTCTAGGAATTTGGTAGACCCAGTAGGCCATTACTCAAGGCCCGATATGCTCACGTTGCTTGTCAACACCAAAGAAGGTAAGCATGTCATTGAGACGTCGTAGAGGACCACAAATCGAACTCCATCGCTAGCTTGCAAGGCCCGTATCTGACAAAAGTGTGACTGCACGTGGATGTTGGGAATTCAAGATGGGTTGACTTCTATTCCACTAGAAACTAAAAGGGAAAGTTACATCGATGATAACGGTAGTAGTGTCTGGTCTTCTAGAGCATAGACGTTAGGGATATGCTAATAATGTGTCGATATGAAAAACATCCTTACTATGGCCACTATCTTCCGTAAGCCGACCATCCCTCGGCACATACTCTTTCAAGATACGCAGGCAGTCCCATTTTTGAGTCTTCCTAGCATATTCAACTGGAGTCATCAGCGGCCAATTGAAATCTGATTCTTGGTCCCTATCAACGTTGTAGTCAAGAAGCAATTTGATTAAATTTCTTCTATCGTGAAGGACGGCAAGATGGAGAGCGGAAGGGGATTTGGCTCCAGATCTTAGATGCATAACTACAGCTGGTTGCTGGAAAAATGAGCGACCAATCAATGCGAATTCGAGAGGTCGAAACCCATTATGACCGAGTAGAAGATCTAGCATTGAATGATTGCAGAACCGGAATACTGCTCGCCATGGCGAGCCGTAGACTCCAGCCCATGTTTTCCGGACTTGAGGCGCATTAATATCATAGCCATGGTCTAGAAAGAGATTAATGGTATCCATGTAATTACTATCACTGAAACTTGGCTTCATGGTCGCGACTGTTGCTGTAGCCATGGCCAGCGCGCCGCAGTTTGATAATTTCCCTGGACCCGTGTACTTAAAACTTGTGCCACGTTTAAGTAGATACTGAACCAAAGTAAACCTCTTTTGCTCAATCCCAAACTTGACTGCAGACTCGAGAGCGATTTGAAGCGGCGGAATGCGCCACCGCTTGTCGTGTTTGCCCTCAAGGTGATCTAACAGCATGGAGACAATGTCCACGGGCGATATGGATGCCGCATCAGAGACTAGACTAATCCAGTGATCTTCATTCATCGAGGCACCCCAGTGAAGCAGCATTCGTACAATGCCAGTTATATTATGTATCACTGCTTGGAAGATGCATGGGTCTCCGTGGTGGTCAACCGTATTGGCGTTAAACCCATGCTCAAGAAGCATTTTTAGAATAGCTTCTTGTTCTTCTCTAATTGCATCGTTGATCAATGAGTCATTGGATTTGGGTGGCAGAGACGCTACAGAGTGCTGCTGAAGGACTGGACTCTCATCTTGAAGGGGCCACCAAGAAGCTCATTGAGACACTGAACTCAGTCCCTAGCTTAACTCAGAGCACTACGTACAATATTAGTCAAAAGGTCGAGGGTGCGGTGACGGGTAATAGGAGGATTTTTGCTGCGTACAGCACTGGAAACCAGACTAATTACTATGGAGTCAAGAGTTCAGATGACATGTAGGTAGATATAAAGCAGAGAATCTCGTGATTTCTTTTGACGTCTTGGTGGATGTGGTGCAATTATTGTTGACTTTAGTAGGAGGTTGAGCATGGTTCACGCTAAGTTGAGACTATATGGTTGACCTTGATTGGGAAGGCGGTGAGAGCCAGCACAAAGAAAGATCGCGGAGCTGGTCTAAGAACCTCACCTCCGCCGCGTCCATCGCGAGAGTCAACTCTCTGTCACCCCTCTTGCTGTCAACGTCAATCTTCGCTTTTCCAATATATTCGCCATTTATTTAGATTTTCACACCTTTTTTTGCTCCTCTACACATTCGTCAACCGTCCGCGAAACCCCAAAACCGGGAGGAAGCTCCACCGATTCCTTAAGTAAAGTGAATAGAACGCAGCATAGTCCAGGATGAACGCGCCCGATAGGTACGTCACTATTTCGATTTTAGTCTCGCTGTCTAGCTTCTGGTTGTCCTCTCGAGCGTGGCCCACGGTGGCATTCACGATTGGTGAAGTGAGTGAAAGCGCCTGCGCTCTGATCATCTTCACCATCACCATCACCATCACCACTTTCCGCACAATACGACGTGCATAATAGCAGAGCAGAGCCAGAATTATGACGTACAAAATAAATAAACTCCCTTATCTACTGGGACCCCGCTGCCATCGCAACAACACCACCCGCCCTCTACCATAAAACCTACTCTACTAAACTGCGCCCGCAACTGCGACTACCAACTACGCCAATAGCAAGGATGCCAAACAAGGTGGGCCAGCTCATCGAGGACAACCCGAATGCTATGCAGCGGAACAACCTCAAGCTAAACCAGCGAATCAAGCACAAGCCTGACTATGATGGCGAAACTAGGTTCGAGCTCTTTCTCCTCGACGATGGACAGAAGAAGGTCGAGTGGAAGGACGAGACTCGTAAGCAGCAGCCCCTCCTCTATGATCTCATGCAAGAGCAAACTGCTAACTCATCCGCGCGTCCCCAGGCGTCCCCAACACCGCCGTCTTCACCTTCAACAAGGAAGACCACACCCTCGGCAACCTGCTCTCGCAGCGTCTGCATCAGTACAAGTACATTACCTTCTCCGCCTACAAGGTACCGCACCCGCTGTTTGCGACCTTCGAGCTGCGCGTCTCGACCGACGGTACCATGACGCCCAAGGAGGCCATCATCCAGTGCTGCCAAGACATCGTCAAGGATCTGGACCAGCTGAGCCGTAGCTTCACGACCGAGTGGCTCGGCAAGCGCATCGTCAGCGAGGGTGAGGCCGAGCGCGTCGCTCGCGAGCAGAACAACTTCTAACTTGCTTTGCTCTCCCCCTCAACTCTGCGACTCTGTCGGAGGTTGAGGGGAGGCGAAGGTTCGGAAATGCATACTTGGGCGTTACAAAATGGCAGACGGCGGCGTTTTCGCTCACGAGCTGGCGTAATGGTACGG